GAATGGCGCCTGCAATATTTGCAAAAAAAAATTAAAAAAAAAAAACAAATGTTAGAGAAAGAAAGATTTAATGCGCTTGTTACTGAAACTGCCATGATCAAATCTCTCTTTAACTGTTTATATATATATATATATATATGGGCTGACCCAACCATTGTGAGTGAAATTAGGTAGATGGAACATTTGGAGGCTGTGCTAGCACGAAGTCACGTCATCGTGACCGAGGTTTTGAGTATGGTGGCGTTGTTCAGATTGCTGTTCATGCCAGATAACACGCTCTCTCCCAGAAACTGTAACTAAGGTCTGCTCAGCATAGTTGCAGTATAAACCACAGGTGGGCTCTCTGGGTGTTGAACAAACACAAATGAACCTGAGTGAGAACCTGAGGAGTCTACAATAAGGGATTGGCTAGCTGCCCTAATAGACGGATATCCCCGAATACGAGTGGCCAGCATATATATATATATATATATATATATATATATATATATATATATATATATATATATATATATCCAAGTATAGGATTGGTGTATACGGAATAAATTCAGTAACCAACAATTACTATTCTTAAAAAGAGTGCTCAATACAGAGTAGAGCGAATATGATTATTTATTTAAAATTATAACATAAATATGTTATAAAATCACTAAAAACAGCCATTTTGTTTCAACACCTCTGGTGCCTTTATGAAGTGAAACAAAATAGCTATTTTTGTAGTGATTTTATAAAATATTTATGTCATAATTTTTATATATATATATATATATATATATATATATATATATATATATATATATAGAGAGAGAGAGAGAGAGAGAGAGAGAAGAGAGAGAGATGTGCAAAAACAAAACAACATGCCTAATCTTGAAGGAGGAATTTACTTTATAACCTGCAAAGATTGCCAGAAAGAATATATTGGTGAAACATCAAGAAGTTTAAATAAAAGATTATATGAAAACAAAAGATAGATTTAAAAAAAAAAACAGACAAAATATATTGGATGTTTAACGTAACGAAACTGACCACAATTTTAACATAAAAAATGTTACTTTAATTAAAAGAAAAAATTCACTCAGACTAAAATGTCTAAAAGAAAAATGCTTTAATCGCTTTGTTCAGCCAGAGTAAATTTGCGTCTAGATTCTTACAATGTTTCACATTTCTTGGTAGATTTCCTGTTATCACAATATGTGATAATCAATAAGAAAGATGACGGAAAGAAAAAGAATATGGATGAATTTGACTAGATTGCGAAAAAAACAAAAAAATTCTTTCTAAATTTAGAAACTCCCAACGTCTCTCGTTCGTCACAACACCATAAACAAACTCGGTCCGATTAAGTTGTAACGGATGAAACGAGTCGCAGAAAGATATTCCAATTTGTTATAAGTGTCCTTTATAACTTGTTCTTCATATCTTAAAAAAATATATAAAAATTGATATATCTTTATACCATATGACTACTTATACTCTCGAAATAGTTCGATTGAGCTCTCGAAGAGAAATGGGTGGCTACTGCTGCTAATGCAATGCTCTTCTACTCCATTCGAGCTCTCCTTGCTATTGACGTCTATCGCATAGTAAAAATGTTAAAATTCCCCTTGCACTTTGCCGTGCGACGATAGCTTGGGAGTAGAATCTCTGACTGATACCAAATCAGTCGGTTTTCGATCCCGGTTTGAAGCAATTGGATGTCTAGCTACACTGATGAGCTGTGATACAGCGAAACACTCTGTCTGTGGATGACTATATATATATATATATATATATATATATATATATATATATATGAAAAAAAATATACTGAAAAAACAAACAGAAATCCTAATATGCAATTATGCTGTTTTAATGTTTAATGTCAACGTCGGACGTTTCGGTCTAATAGACCATCTTCAGGACATATTCATAAAACATAATTAACATAGACCATATACAATTCAACATTTAGGTTGCCGGTCTGAATATTCGAGAAATATTATTAAAGAAAGATATCCGCTCTCCGGCAGGATTCGAACCCGCGTCTCTCTTGGTAGGAATACATTATTTGTGCTTATTCATGCCGGTAGACGAAAATAAATATATTATTTAATAAATATACGGAGCGTCTACTCAAATATGGGTATCCACTAAAAATAACGCTTAAAAATAAAATCTATAGAATCTATAAAATCTGTCGTAATTAATTACTTCTTTAGAAATTGCTTTGTTTACGTTATAATACGGAACTGAACAGATATGAATGATTTGAGAGTCTGGCATACACACACACACATGATGTAAATGAAATGGTGCTCGATGTAATAACAGTGCTCTTAAGTATATATGAATCTTTTTTTCTCTTTATATATATATATATATATATATATATATATATGAAGAAAAATATACGGAAAAAAACAAACAAAAATCCTTATATGCAATTATGCTGTTTTAATGTTAATATAATGTCAACGTCGGACGTTTCGGTCGAGTAGACCATCTTCAGGACATATTCATA